TCTGAAAAAATTCAATGCCACTACAAAAGCGAATATACCATGCTCGGAGATGATCCCAGTGATCGTTAAATTGAAAAGCGACCAATTAAACGAAACAAATTCAAATCGAAGTTTAACATTGAACATGTCACTTGGACCTACTCCCATTGTTTTTTTTCGTTCTTCTTCTTCACACTCTCATTTGATAATTAACGATTTGAAAGTCTGAGTTTATGAGACAGTAAACAGAATATCTGACTGTTTTGTAAGATTTATTGAACTTCCCTGTCATTTACGTATCAAGAATTTACTGCACCGTATGATTGCACATTCAATTTGTGGTAATATTATCAATAGTGCTCATGGTTATGTATTTGTGTTTATTTCAAACTGTAATGGAATGCCGGTTAGGCGAGTTTTTATTATTAGAATGCCCAAAGCAATATTTTTTTTTTATTTACAATTGCGAAAATGTGGGTTTTTTACATTTAAAAATTCCAAAATGAGAACAAGTGATTCTGCTTACATTTCAATTACTGCCATAAAATGTCTGGCTTTGCACGACCGATTAAAGACGGAAAAGAAAGTTAACAACTTTAATATGTGTTTATAGTGAGGACATAAATTTGTTCCTTTTGCGTTGAGGACCCATGAACTGTGTTGACATACATCTTTTCTTGTGTCTCTTCTCTCTCTCTCTCTCTCTCTCTCTCTCTCTCTCTCTCTCTCTGTGTGTGTGTGTGTGTGTGTGTTTGTTTCATAATAATTTGTTGAAATCGAAAGTGTTGAGACTTAGTTGGTAGTTCACAACAACTATTTCATTGACCACGAAATTGTGGTAGAAAAACCTTCTTCAAAAAAATTTGAAAATTGAAATCCATGCAGTGAAGAGGAAAAAAACCATATAATAATACAAAGAGCGATTGTTTTCGTAGTATTTTTTTATTTTAAATATACGTTCGAGCTATTGGCCTTCAATCACCTTGTGATTCTTTCGGTCAATTAATTACTTTTACATAGAGTTGAGTAAATGACGATGAACCATCATAGTATACGTATGACCAAAACATCGTAAACATTCGTTCGGTCAGCATTAATTCTATCAAAACTAATGGTCAATGCGTACTTGAGCAGAGCAGCAAAAATTATGGTCATAATTGATGGTCCCTTTACCGACCGAATGGTACAGTGCTCAAGATAACTATAAGGGTCAACATGCAGATGATCTTTTACCATCCAGCATCAGCATAATAACAATGAGTCTATAAATCTTGAATTCATCACACAGACACACAAAGATTATTGCAATAAGCCTAGAAAATTGCTAATTAAGCTAATTAGCTGATGAAAGGAAACGAAAAAAAAAGAATTGCAGACCGTCATGAAATTTAAGATGATAGAGGGGGAGAGAGAGAGAGAAAGAAAGAAGAGTCAGAAGAATAGAATCCTCAAGCAAGAGTGATGAAAATGAATGGAAATGAAAAAAACCGTTAAAATCAAGGCTGAGAAATTCGTACATAGTAAATTAGCGCATTTGGATGGTTGATCATTTTGAATATTTGACACTGATACCAAGAGTCTTGTGTACGCTTGAGCACGAGAAAGAAGAGAGATAAGAAACCATACCATAATCTCAAGCCGATTTTGTAGCTAAATAAAAATCGTTTGACTTTTTATTTTCGGCAATGTGAGAAGAAAATTAGTCGATTCGCCAAACATCAATGACTATATTATAAAGATTCATAAATATTCATCATAAAAAAAATTCTCTCTCTTTCAATTTTTTTTTTTTTTGAGCGAAGGTAAAATTGTGCACACATTGTAATGGTACGATGATCGTATCGAATGAGAAGACTTAAAAGTATAAGCTTCCGAAATGCATTTTGCGTTTTTTTTTCTTCTCTTCTTTAGATTAAGAGACGCATAATCCATTTGCCACCGCATGATATCAACAACAGTAAACAAAATTATTCATTCATATTTTTATATTTGTTTGTTATCAGTCCAATGTTTGCCAAAACTAAGGCAAATCCCTCGTAAGCTTTATCCGTGAAATATACATATACACACATATTAACCGTTGTAAAACAATAGTTTCGCCTCGATGAATTTAACCTACATAAAACTCCACACCGAATCGACGGATCATACACAAAAAATTTATACAGACAGAGTCTGACAGACACATTGGGCATTTAAGCTACGCTAAACTACTGGCATAAATTGCAGAAAATAAAATAGATAGGAAGAAAAGCCGCGCGCACAACCATGTATACCATGTAAGAATACGTACACTATGCGATGAATAACGCAACAAAAGTATTGTACTATACACGCAAAATGTAATCCACAGATTCATGATTAATTGTGTTAAGGAAATATTGTATTTAAAGTATATTGTGCGGTCTGAAAAAACGCAAAAGACGACGACGAAGAAGAAGAAGACGAAAATGATGGTGAATGAGTAAACGAAGTAGCAGACACATTGAATATGCAACAAAGAAAATATTAATCGGTTGTGGAAAACTGGGCCCATGGAACGTCAAGTACGTAGAACCAATAGAGATTTGCTTGTTACACAATTTTTCTTATTTCTTTCTCATTTTTAGCTGCATTTTCGTTGTCGTCGTCGTTGTAGCACATACATATACCATTCAGTGAATGATTATTCTATTATCTTTGGTGTGCGCGCTTGGCATTTTTACTGTTTTTTGAGGGCGTAATATGCATATTTTTTAAAAATGGTCTTGGACTCTATTGAATTATGGTCACAGTCAGTCGTGTGCGAATAATAATTTCAAAGTGTGAACAAAACATATTACGTATTTTAATTGTGTGAGCATATCAGTGTATCTTTGTTGTGTATTTTCAACGGTTCTTTTTTTTCTCTCATCCCTACTTCTTCTGTTATTACATTCATAATTGAATTAATCCAGCATTTCGACAGTAGAATAACTGTCGTTTTCATACCGTTTTTTTGAAGTGATTTCAAACCAGAAAATAAATAAAAATCGGCATGAGCACATGTCGTCTTTCCACAATTCGTTCGTTTGCACTTTCATCACATTGCAAAGCAATTGGCACCAGCGAAGAAAGAAAAAAAATTCTTCGACTTCAACTTCGATTAAGTGAAATTTGTGTTCAATTTCGCGTATTTAAGTTCACTTTCTTCCGAAAACGAATATAATAATCGAGCATGCATGTATGTTTGCTCCGCTTATTTTGAGAAGCGGTCAAGCGCTTACTCACAGAAAAACTTAGCAACAACTGTATATGTGTGTATATCGCTCACTTTGCAAGTGAATTTTCGACTTAAATATCGAATGAGTCGGAGAGAAATACACACGCCAAATCGATTAGTCAAATAGCATTTAATTCACATGAAATCACCTTTCTTTTCGATATTAATTAAAAATTATTATGCACATTCGTGTGCACACTTCATCAAATAATCCATCAAATTTTTCGTCATTGTGATTGAGCAAACACACATCATAATTTGACATCAAATAAACATAATATGGAAGTTTAAAAAAAACGGCAGACACACACACGCACACGTCGTGTAGATCTGTTTTATTTGAATTTTCGCTGTCACTCAAATAATCATTTATATATTTTATTTTGACGATACGTTTTTTTATGATGTTTTTTCTGTTTTTTTTTTTTTTTTTTATTTCAATTTCTTCGACATTTCTTTCACTCTCACTCATCCCCTTTTTCTCTCTCAACAGCAAAGCACTCAGCTGATTTGAGCACAACAGATACAGTACAAATGAAAGAGAAAATTATGTTATGTTATTTCTATCGATAAAATGTGTACTTTTAACATATGGTTTATTATTCACATATTGCATTCAAATGTTTTCTGAGAGGTGAAAAATGTGTGGCTATGCGTGAGCAAGAAAGAGAAAATGCATCGGATACAATTTATCGATACGCAAAGATCATCACAAAAAAATCGCCTGGAAATGAAACTTGAATATTTTGGGTGAAATTTATGCCAAATCGATATGGATTTGATATCAAAACCCATTGATATTTTACCAATAAAACCCTGATTTTTTTTAAACACAGAACAACTCTCGATGATGAAGGTTGATTAAATCAATGAAATCTAAAAAAAATCAACAATAAACCAAACAAACGATGAACGGAATTTTATTCAAATGCGACGAATGAAATAGAGAGTGATAGAAACAAATGTTAATATAGATAGATACGTTGGTATTGGAATCGGCATTAATAATTTTGCGAGGATTCAACAAATAAGAACGAAATAATTCGCGGTAAAACATGAACTATTACATTTTATGGGAAAATATGAGCTAATAGCTACAAAAGACAAACAGAGAAAAGCGGTAATGATTTCAGCGTGGCAAAAGTTGTGATCGTTTGAGGCGATTGTTCGATTCAATATTATCGATTGAATGCAGCAATATAATAACAGGAAAGATAAAAATATGAAGTACAAACGATTGCAATACGATTGATATTGTGCATTTGACTTTAAGATGATAGTTCAATCACATTTCAATGGAATTTCATAATCGAGAGATATATTCAATAGTATGGTATTCATATAAATAAAAAGATTCGCAATCATCTTCATTGTCGTGAAGTAGAATGTTTAACAGAATATTTTAAACAAATACTTTGAATAACATGTATTTGTGATCAATTTCGGATGAAATTGCACTCTATTTAATTGAAAATACATTTCTCGTCATTTTTGATGCCATAATTTCGCCGATGCACGACATAATAGTAACGTGATCGTGCTCACTCTTCAATCGGATGCAAATCGGAAATGTTCAATTGGAATGCACTATATATACTTTTTTTATTCCCCAGCTTGTCTTTTCTTTCGAATTTACCGCTCATTCACTCATTTCATCGATTGAGATGAGTTGAAACAATGACGAATCCGAGAGAAAAAAATGTGATGTTCGTTTTTGTATGTGGTATTTCGATGGTAATTATGAAAATGGTTTACAATGTTAATTAAATGATAATTTTACCTACGGATCAGCAAGATTCGTGTCTTTGTGATTTTGTGATTATTTGTGCACACAAATTGCTTTGAATAATTTTGGTTGAATTGTTTTCTGCACACGGTATATCGGGCGTCGTTTGGTTTGTAATTTTCTTAGTCCTCCAACGTTGAATATTTATACACGAAAATTGTTCGATTTTAAGCAGCAAACAAGCAAAATATAGCATTAAATTTTTTTTCTCTTGTTTTTGCTTTCGTTTGCTACCAATTTTGGTAAAACAGAAAAAAATATTTTGGTTTGAAAAAGCGCGATGCAAAAGAATTGGGAAGCTTGCAACAAATATATATAATGCGTGTATATTAAAAAAAAATGCACAATTTTTTCGTTTTTTTCCGGTCGATCACTTTTTTTCTTTACAAATACATGAAATAAAAAAAGTATTTAGACAAAATAAAAAAATTGCACGCACTCTACACACTGCACTTGAAATGGACGGGCTAATACAATTTATAATTGGCACATTCACTACAAAAACATTCGGCACAATTTTTGTCTGAATATTAAAAAGTTCGGTCGTTTATCTCTTTCTTTCTATCTATTCTTTTCGTTTGTGGCAATCATCACATCAAATATTAAAATATCGTTATTTATATGTGTAACACAACAACCAAAAATATTTAAACCACGGATTGATTTTGTTAGGCGATAAAAATTTCCGGAAAATTATATTAAATTTTTTTTTTTAATTTTTTTTAAATTAAAAAAATGCTCGTAAATGTTGTGAATTTTTTTCTGAACAAATGTAGTCGTGTTTGTAAGGATTTGTTTCTCTCTTATTTTCTGTTAAGCGGCTGACCGTTAAAAGTGAAAACGGCTAACAACGTGCACGAGTTTGAAAATCCGACTGAACAGTTGTATCAAAAAATGACAATAACCAAGTGTAAATAGTGACGGAGACGGCTACGACCAAAAATGTAAAGTTTTTTTTTTCTTTTTATATACACGTTGGGTTTTCGGTTGGTTTTTGTCTGTGTGTTTTGGTGTTTTGTAGCCGCGAGATTGTGCTTGAACGGCACGCTACCGCTACTGCTATTGCTTGGTTGTCGGTTCTTCGGTTTTGCTGTTCACTTTTGCACACAGTTCCAACGATGCGATACAACGGTAAAGTCGACCAACGACAGACAGAGATGCAACGAATCACAACACAAACACACTTGAATACGCGTACACGCAATACAAAACAGTGAACGAAGGAGAAAAAGAGAAAGACAACGAGCTCATCGGTATGTGTTTGCAGTGTTCAATATACATTTGTATTTCGGCCGAATGCCGCTATGCTGCTGCTAAATGGTGGTGTCTGAATGTTTGTATAGGTGATAAAATCCCACTTCTCGCACAACATTTTGCTGTATATGTATTTTGGTTGCGCTAAGTCGGCTGCAGTGCCGATTCTTCTTTTTTTTTCAAAATATTAAACCATGTTTAGGCATGCGGATTTTTTTTGCTTAAACAATGTTGGCAAGAGCCAAGACCGTTCATCATTGCAATGTATGCAAATCTTTTAAATGATGACAATATCGATTTTCGTCATAAATTGGTATCCATATCGATGTAGCACCATCATATAATCGACGTCATCGTTTCTTGTTTCTATTCTTTTGTTCTTCATTCGATCAATTCTGCTGCTAACACTATCTATCTATCCATTCTGCGGTTATTTCTTCTTAGTCGATTTTTTTTCAACGCCAATTTTAAACTTGATTTGTTTGAATTTTTAATATTGGCATTCAAGTAAGCTTGACGAGAATTTAAGATCGACAAATGCCATTGATGACATGTCTTATGTACGCTGAGTGCGTGAGCTCACGTTTCATCACAACCTAACTAGCCAAAAATCTGTACGTAACGGTATTTTTTTGGTGATTGAAACAATTTCTATGCGAGTCAACAACTGATGTTTGTTTGAGCATAGACACTCTCTAGATGTGAGAGAATGCGTTCTGTATTTTTTTGTTATATGACTTGTATTCAATACAAAATGCTTAATTATAATAATCGTTTAGTCAGAATCAATCACGTTGACACACGGTAGTTTTGTTTATTCATAATTTTATAAAAACGCCTGTTTCAACTGAGACGGAAAATGCGTCCATGAATCAACCGAAAAAAATGAGTCATTTTTTTTAGGAACGTTTGATTCTAATTTATTTTGCAAAATATAAAGTATATGCGCATGCGCGCATGATTAAAAATTAAAATGAGCCGGTTTTTAAATCGCGCGACCTGTGTCAGCGAGAAACAAAACGACGAAAGCAGTGAAAAAAAAATCCATTGAAATATATCATCTTTAGAATGTCATCGACACGCACGTAAAATCCAGCTACATAACTACCGAAACCAAAACGACAACAACAACGCACATGATTGATATACGTGATGCACTGGAATTCGTGCGAGGAATTGAAAAATATACCACAAAGAATATACAAGCGCAAACACAGTGTGACGTCGCATATTTCTCTCGGTCAAAATACACAAACTAACGTTTGTTCGACTTTGTATTTGGTGTAAAACGGACTTGGGTGTTCAAATTTTCTTGCCTTGGGCCAGTTTTGCGACGACAACGCTGATGACGATGATCTTTATTTATTTATTTTTTAAATTGACCGATTTGATCGAAGTAGGTATTCTTAATTAGTAACGCATGTTTCCGGATGAGTAATTTGTGATGTACGAAATAGATTCGTCAGCATTTCTCACACAGGAGATACCAGGAATGACTCAAGAACAATTTTTTTCACAAAAATTATTCTTTTAATTGTTGTTGTTTTTTTTTTTTTTTTTTTTTTTTGATTTTAAAACACACTTTGCTCATGCACAAAAATACACTGGCATACAATATTAATTGTTATTGTTGATTGCGGAGTGTCAGCGGCCGTAAAATTCGTCGCATTCATGTGTAATTTTAGTCGCACAATATCATACCGTGACGTCGTCAATGAAGACTTTTTTTATAAGACAAAAAAAAAAGATTATTGACTACGCGACTGAAAAACATTTTTTCTCTGTCTCACTGTGTGTGTTAAATGAAATGTAGGTCAGTCATGCCTCCGATGAATACCAAACGGCAAAAACAGTACAAGTAAATGGATAAAATGTGTACGGTGTATATTGTGCTTGAGATCGATACACTCAAGTTGCTGCTGCAGAAAGAAGAAAAAAAAACAATTCATTCAGAATGCATACGAATGCAATTGATTTTTTTTAAAATGAAAAGGCCGCTTCTGTGAACGAGATCAAGTGAGAGACAAACAGAGTCTGTTGCAGAGAAATAGAGAAGGAAATAGAGAGTCCAAAAGACCAAAGGGGGAAGAATGGTAATACACACCAGAAATCAAATAACCCGTATTGGTTGGATACAGAACGCGACAATGTAATTATCACATGTGTTACACATATCATTTCATATTTATGTAACTTTCATTTGGGTGCCTTATTATTCAATTTGAAATCGGAATTTCGTGACATGGGCAAAGCATTGCAACGAAAGGTGCGTGTGTGTGTCTGTGTGTGTGAGTCTGTTTGTGTGGATCGCGAGAAAGAAAGAAAAAAAGAAAACAATGCAAATAGCAGACATTTAATTTTCACGATCAATACACGTCGCGGCGAAAGTGTTATGATGTGATGATTTCAAGATCAACATAGACCATTATTATTACATACAACAAAGAGAGAGAATATAACACATGGTATTTTACGTCATTCGCTTTATGTTGGTTTTTTCATTGGATTCATTAAGCTTAATTGACAATTTCACCTTTTTGTTTTGGCTTTTTATTATTAGTAAATAAATAAATAAATATGCGTATTTTTTTTCGTTGAATTGTTGTGATTAAGCCGTTTTCTCGGTGATGCTAAACATGCTGACGTGTTAACCATTTCTCCAAACGCACCATCAACTGAAGAGATTGAACCAAAAATAAAATAAACAACCTTGAAACGTATTGACTCAACGCGATGAGATGATGATGAGTGAAACCAACAACCATGCTACTTTTTTTAACTCTTCGCATATTTGAACCCACTTCAGATGCAATGATAAACATCTCTCTGTAGTCAATGGCAAGTCACTAAATAAATTAATCTCAAGACCCAATTTCACTTCAATTCTCTCTCTCTCTCCCCCTCAGTAATCGATCGTAATCGTCGTATGCACATATGAATTGTGTCTTCAGCGCTTCATTTGTTTATGTCAATATTTTGTTGTTGTCTTCATTTGATTGCGATTGATGGAAAAAAATCCATCGAAAATTAAACGAATAGTCAATGTTTGACCGACGAATATTTAGAAAATGCAAAGCAGATGTTCTCAGTTTGTCGGCGAGGAAATGATTTTTCTTTTGCGCGTAGTGTTATTTCGGTGGAAAATACACCGAAAAAAGCAAAAGAAGGCTAACAGCTACATAATTGTATTTTACTGCAATTAATGTTTATTTTCGATATCGACGGGAAATTGACAACTCATCTCGAAAAAATCCACTGCACACACATAAAAATAAGTTGGAAAATTACAATTTATTACCATATTCAAACAGATATTGATTTACAACTCCAATACAACATATTTGCGATGTGTGATATTGAAATCGCTTTCGAATGCAAGCAAAAAAGATAGAAAATGAATTTGTACAGAAAAATTGGAAGTCCTCCAAACAACATTTCCTTCCTTTTTTCATCTTGACTCATTTTTATACGGTTCAAATTAGCGGTCGATGACAGCTATTTTTGTCAAAAGAAACCAAAAAAAAAAAAATTACACAATTGTGCACACAAAGTTCTGTGCTGTAATTATATAGCTACGGTGGTAATTCATGCTGTGTGATCGTTCTTTAATTAGAGGAAGAGAAATCCTTGAATTGCAGTGTGCGCGCTTTTGGTCAGTGTGCCATCATGGCTGTGATTTCGTGGCAGCCAGCTAAATTGTAGACCGAATTGAATGCGATTTGTTTTGAATTTTTCAAAATTGGAATTTATTGAATATTTGTTCCGTTGAAGCGAGATTAACATGTAACTAATTGACCAAATGACTATAAAGGTCGTTAAAAAGAAAATCGTTCAGAAAGGTAAACTGGCGCCGAAAAGTACCAACAACAACAACAACAACAACAACAACAACAACAAACGACAATAATGTAAGAAGCAGTGAGGTTAGACCAAAATAGATCTCTATAAAACATGTAATTTTGAGTTAAAAAAAATAATAATGCCAAGACATGACAAAAGACACACGCAAAGACGACAAAACACATTGGGATTTAACCTTTTTCTTTCAGAGGCTGAACATAACTTCAGCTGATGCTCTGACATGCTCAAATCAACGTTGTTACATTGAGAGAGACGAACTTTGTGCGATATTTACATTTTGATTGTTTATAAATTTAATTTGATATTTGTCGATTTAAAAATACACAAATTCATCCAAACGAAATCAAAAATTAATTTTCAATAATAACAAAGCTGTCTTTTTGAAAAATATTAAAGAATAATAGTGAAGTAAATGTAAATATTCTTGTGGTTGAAGCATTGAAACTACGCATATTTAATTACCTAAAATGCACAATCGAAATATAGAAAAACAAAATCGAATATTTATAATAATCGCACGCCATGCCGATGTTTGAGGTGATTTATTTAAAATAAAACACCAAACGGTAATAAAGTTTTTCATTGAGTTTAAGACGGAGATGGATAGTTTTTTGCCCGTCTCTTTTCGTTCACCATAGCCCATTAGTAATAGTGTAATCATATAAATAACTATGATCATTAGATCTGAATTGTATTTTCCACCAAAATTCCAATGTGACCGAACCCTTTACCATTCGAAAAAATGTCGAACTTTTAGTGTTTCGGTTATTTGATTAAATTGGACAAAATTGCCTATTTACCATTGAAGAAACAAAAAACAAACGGCGTTCTTTTGGATAATCATAGTTCCATCACATCGAATTACATCCAAATATACAAGCCAGCGGATTCCATTTAAGCGAGTAA